GAGGGCTATGAAAGTACTCATTCGATTCCGTAGGCGATAGGGAATATTTTGTATATCTCAGAATTTCGGAAAAGTGCCTAGTTTTCGAGAAAATCGAAATTTTAGTTTTTTCGTAGTTCCGCCGCTCGCCGCTAGATGGCGCCACATGTACCGTTTTCGACCGAATTCGACAAAAATTGATTTTCTGGCTTTATTAGGCATCAAAACGCTTTATTAGGCATCAAAACGCATCAAACCCTAATAGAAATTTGTTTCTAAATTCCTCAGGAACCATACTACGTCGTCAAAGTGCCGAAATATTCATTTTTTTATTTTCCATATATACATGTTCGGACCCTCATTTTTTAGGTTTAGTTCACACGTTTCGCCGCTAGATGGACGCCAATTTTTTAGTCCATAAACTGCACTGTATGTAACGTGATCAAATTCAATTTTTACATTGAAGTCTATGAGGATTTGAAACAGCGGTTTCGTTAGCTCCTATTTTCTACCACTAGATGACGCCATACAAACCATTTTTGGTAGCAAATGAAATTATCCGCATAATAGACCAGAACATATATCAAATTAATTTTGTTATTAATACTTGTAGAACTTTTTTAATCTAATTACTTTACAATAAAGTATCGACTTCTATATCGTTTCTGTGCGTCAATGCGACGTTGTACAGTTTGCTACGTTTGTTGGCTAGGGTGCACAATCGAATCTCACCGTAGGCAGTGAAAAAGTTACTTAGTACGTATTCAGTGAATGATTATTTGAAAGTAGTTGTCGACTGTTTGAAGGTTTAGAGATTTAATTAACAAGTGAAGGTGCAGAACAATAATTTTTTCAGAATATAATCATTCCCACTTAATTTACTATTTCATTTGACATAGTACATCCGTTTATAGGTTAAAAAGTTTAACATCAAGGAACACAATAAAAAGAATCTCGTAAAATCAAAGTGCTTGGACAATTAGTACAAAATTTATATTGTATTTCTACTTGTGATCATATACAAGGTTTACAATGCCGTATGGTGTGCCAATGTCCCGATTTATATGTTTGGTTGGACTATCATTTTTGTCTATGTGCGCAGGCGCGGAAACCGTACATAGGGTATTTAAACCACTGGACGATTTAGATGATACTATAGAAAAGGAATTGAAAGCAATATTAGCCAAAGAAAAAAATGTAGCCAATGACTGATATTAAATGGTGGAAATATAATGTACAATTCTGTACCATATTATTTAATAATTTGAGGATGACCATTTACTATTCTTTGTAGTGATTGGATAATACGAAATTAATAAAACTACTTGATAATTTACAATGTAAATTTTATTAGTTGCAGATTTAATAAAGCACAATATATTTTATTACAGTTTACACATATTACGCTTTTCTTTAATGCTTGAAATATACATATTTACAGGATGAATATCACCTTCTATAAAGGACATATATCACGCAACAATTATTTATAATTCACAGTATATTTGGAGGACCTTCTTAAATAGTTTACTTGCATTGATGTATCGGCAGCACATTTTGCATAAGCCTAGCTTGAAATTTATTAGGATAGCTACATTAATTTGTATTTTTTTTTTTTTGTGTAATTACAAAAGCGAATAATTAAGCATTATCCTTGGGCAACTATCCATGTAAAAAAATACGTAAATTTTATATTCATTCTCGATCATTCTATAATGACAGGAGGGATAGTAAAAATACTTGTCGAGCGGGTGTTAAATCATGTTCATTAATCACTGAGTTGTCATAACGATGTCTCGCTGGCGCCAGAACTTTGCGATTGAAGCGGTAGACTTGTCTTGTATCCTGCTGATTCCTCCTCTAACAAAGCTATTCGTTGTTTCAATGATTTCACCTATAAATTAACATGCGCTTGAAAGAATAATTATCATCAGAATTAATTTTGTTTTAGTAATGATTTGAAACGAAAATAGGCGACTGTGCATGTGCGCGCGCAGTTCACTGCTGTAAAGCAAGATGGCGACCAGTTGTTACCGAATCGTGCCAGGAAGACCGGTGTAACCATGTCGATACTTTTAAACACAAGAAATAAAATAAAAAGACTTTATTTAAACATGCCTGGAAAGGCTCTTGGAGATTTTCGACTTTTGCCAGTATTCTTTATACTGGGTGCTCTTTTGGAGTTTACCATGATTCATTGGAAAGTTGGAGAGGTTAACTTTTACAACACATATAAGAAAAGGCGAATAGAAGAAGCAGTCGAAAAAAGATTACGACAAATGAAATTGGAAGCTGAGCAAAATGACAAGATCTAATATTTAAATGAGTAAGTCTGCGCAATTTCACTAGTGTAATAAGTAGTTAATTTTTCTAATAAGAAAAGCATCAATGATGCAATTTACTCTTACAGGTTCTTTTAACCATTTAAATAAACAGAAGATACAATTAGAAATGTAATTTATGTATTATAATGTAAAAAGCTTTAATAAATTAAGTTGTACAAAGGAATACTAAATAATTGTAATAATTATTTTTAATACCCTTTATATCAGACATTGCATTTATACATGTTACTCATACCTGTGCAGCATGTCTCTCTACCATGCTCAGCATTTGCTGCTCCAACTTCTTTAGTCTGGATTGATATTTTTTCTTAGATTTCTCTAAAGTTTGCACCAGAGCTCTGGAAACAGGTAAGAAAATGAAGCAAGAACTTAGCAATCGGTTTTATATTGTCCTCGATTAAATTACCCGTTCGCCCGTTTTAAATCGTTAACAAGTTCAGCCGACTGTTGATGCCTTAGTTCCGAATTTTTGTTAACTTTATCCAACGTTGACACCAGCTCCTGCAAACGTTCCTTTAGTCTAGCTTCCCGACCTAGAGCCTCTATTAATTCGGATTCCATGCCTTCGCTTTCGTTGTCGCTCAAACCTCGATCCTACATACATAATTTATATTTACTACATAAAGTACACCCTTCATTTTAAACTTCCTACTCGTACTTTATTCGTAGCCATTGCCAGCATGGCTTCGGTATCACTGAGTTGACCCTGAAGATGTTCAATGGCAGCATGCTGAGCCGCGATTTGCGTGTCGCGCGCGTTTAATTTTAATTCTATGGTAGCCCGTTCCTTTTCCAACAAGAAAACACGCGCCCGTAACTCTGCTTTATCTTCTCGCATAGCCATCAATTCCTACGCGATTACATGAAGTTAGTTACATTGATCGTTGGCGCGGGAATCATTAACTAAAATACCGCGGACGAACCTGCATAAGAACGGCAGTTTCTAAATCTAATTTTCGAGCTTCAGCAAGGGAGATAGTATTCTTCGAGTTTAACGGTTCAGCGTGCACGCTTTCTAATTCTACCGCAGTGGATCTAACCATAGCCCGTTCTCCTTTCAATCTGCTGATGTGTCTTCTGAGTCTCTGGTCGTCTTCGACGCTCCAAGCTACTTCGGATCTGAAATCGAAGAATGATCAAAGAAACCATAAGATGCCCGGGTTTCTATAAGTTATACGTCGTACTCACTCGTCCGACAAGACTATACTATCGTCCCATGGGGAGTTGAGGGTATTCATACGTTCGTTTTCCAACTTATTCAAAACGTGATAGGCTATATGTTCAGCTGCCCTTCTGTTATCGATCGTAGTGCTATTTCTCTCTGTCGATAAAGCGATCTCACTTTCTAACAGCGCTACTAAAACATCGTAAGCTTCGATCGCGCGATCGCTATAGGAAAGCGCTAAGCGTAAGGCGGTCGCGTTCGACTCGTATTTTCCAACTAGAAGACTCAATCTAAAACGAAAGAAAATATCGTATCTCCTATGCTGGCGTTCCATAAATTATGAAACGCAGTAATACCTGTCGCATTGTGCTTTGCTTTCGTGCAGGGTCAATGCAAGTACCGCGTTATTCGCTCGTGCATGTTCCAGTCTACTATTTAATCTTTCCGTTTCGACCTCAAATTGTTTCTCGGATCCGTTCAGTTCTTGAATGTTGGAGTGCTCGAGAAGATCGGACACTAGATGTTCGGCAACCATCGTAGAACACACCTAATGAACGATCATAAGTAGTTGAAGCTTATTGCAAGCGTTTAAGTTGGAAAGATTGTTTCGACCTAGATTCTATGCCCTAGTGGTACTTCGCGCATAGTCATGGAAGTAAAACTATAGACGATATGGACGATAACGTACTCCCAAGTTGGTAATATCGGGTCCTGTGATGTGTCTCTCGTCCGTTCTCCTGAGTCTCACCCTCTCGGCCATTTTAAGAACCGGTGCTTCCTCCCTCGTTACGTTCTTTGTCGGCGGTGTCTGCAAGGGTGGCAAGAGTGGCGAGCAAGGTGCACTCAAAGGTTCCGGCGAGCTGGTGTTGCCTCTTGTCTGTGAAAATCAAAGGAGCACCAGGAAACATTATGTCGGAAGGGTTTTGATAAATATTTTTCGTGAAAGTGTCGGCTGATCAAAGGGTGGGCACGACCGTCGGGGTGAATGCGAAAAATTCGTTCAGCCACAGAGATGCAACCAGGAATGCATTTGAAATGCATCGAGATAAAAAGAGCAATTTCTTTGACCACAACGAAAACCTGTTCGTTTCGAAATAGGAAAGTGGTTTTTACGCTGAAAGATAATGACTTATAACCCCGCTACCTACCCTTGGCTCTCTGCGTGGCGAGTCGCTGTCAGCCTGTTGCCTGTGATGGCAATTCTGATTCTTATAATTAACCAGTTGACCTTGCAAGCTCGCGATTTCTGCGCGAAGGGCTGTCACCTCTTCCTGCAACGCTGCCACAGCCACGCTTTGGCAGGAATTTGTCTGCTGCGCTGGTTCTGGAGTCGGTAATGCCGCTGGACTGTCCAGCTGATCTCTGCCATTCTGTCGAGCACAGAACGCGGTTCGTGAATCGTGAAACGGCTAGACGAACGATTTCTCGAACGGAAATTAGCCGGAGGTACCTCCGTAGTACGTGGTTCGATGTCCTCGCAGCAACTGGAGTCGACATCGCCCAAAGTACGGTCTCCGTCGCCCTGAATGTCACCTCCTGCTTCGCTCTCCTCGACCGGATTCGTGATGGAACCCTCTGCGTCTCTGCTCGTCTCTATTTCTGTAAATGGCAAGACGAAGGGTTAAGGATCAAACGGAAAGGAAGCGGTAAATCTCTCGGTGGAACAGATTTATGGAATCGGTATCTTTTCTCTTACCAGATTCATCCTCCTCGGCAATTACGGTAGCTCGATGCCTCTCGAGCTGTCTGCCCAGCTCCGCGATCACGGAATGCAACTCGGTCAGTCTCTCCTCGTGCCTTGCTGCTTGTTGCTCTGCCCTCTGTTCCGCTCTCGCAGCTTGCACTTCGGCTCGGACCAAAGCTGCTTCTGCTGCTTCCCTTGCCCGAGTCGCAGCCACCAGTCTCGAGTTCAGCTCGGCGACTTCTGATCGCAGCGAAGACAGCGCAGCCGCGTGAAGCTGAAACAGAGGTTCGGTTTCGATTATCGATCGATGATTTAATTCGAACGCTTTTGCCCGATCGTTGCGTCGAGGATTAAAAAAGACGTCTACGATTTACTTTTGATATATCCTTTCGCGCGTGTTCTTTGTTCGAACGCTTTCATCTCTCGATACCAAGTTTGTCTGTCCTTTTATCGTTCTAACTCCTTTGTGGCTCGACTCTTGGGTCTAAAATTGTCCGGGGCTTCCGGGTGTAAACTATATTTCACCCTTTGAGGATATCCCGACAATATTGTAGACTTCCGCAAACAAGAAGTCTAGAATCCGCAAAAGTTGCTCGAGATGAAGTTTACTGCCGCGGGCAAGGTGATACGAACGTCCGTATTACTCCGATTCAGAGAGTCTTCTACGCTTTAGACTTGTTTCGTGACGTAAGCTGTCTTGGCCAAGGCTGGATCCGTTAGATGGACAGATAAGGTCCTGTGATTACAGTTTCGGAGAAAATCGTTATAAACGTTCGGCTCGAATAATACCGACGACTTCTGATTACTCTTAACTGCGCAGATAATAAATCTACGGCTTTGAATGATTTCTAGTACATCACGAACGTAGAATTTTAATTAAAGGAAGAACGGTCCTCTAATCGCAAGTTGTATCAAGGGCAAACATACGATCTTACGTAGTTATTTTGAAGATAAAATTAGAAAATCCTTGTAGCTCTTTAATGAAGTATCGCAGTACAAGCATTATAATTTTGTCACTGGTACTTCCTCGAAACCAATGTAGGGCAAATGAAGAAACATCGACGCAATTTTTTGTGCTCATTTTATTCGACAGAAACATACATAACATTTATTATATTCACGGAATAAGGCGACTGACTCATATTTTGGAGTGGGAGATTCAAATCAATTAGCATGCAATTATCTCCCGAATACGATAAACATATTTACTCAGTCGAGCAACTTTGCCCCCGTTTATACGATTGTGCCGAGCAAATGCCGTCTCGGCGTTCCCATAAATGGAAGAAGTCCCAGACGATCGTGTTCCTTATTACCGACGGGTCCTCATTAATTTTGTCGCGGGATAAAAAAATTGCGTAGGACACGTACGCGTTTACGCGGTATCACTGCGGAGTGTCCTTCGCGGAGGCAACCGTGCGTGTCGGACATTACGAGACGACGGGTCGCTAATGATTCCTGGCCACGTGATAGCTCGCGAATAAAGAGAGAAAGGGAGAAAACGCGGGGATCTGTGTATAAGAAGCACGCGACGTAATTACGAAGCGTCATTCGAGAGCCACCTATCGAGAGGATCGTGTGCGTGTCCGATCAAAAGTGTATTCCCGACAACAGGTAAATTGTAGTTTGTACACGGTCCGCGGGTTTCCGCGTTTCATCTTCGTTATACGGACAGCTTCGTTCTATAGTCAATTCGGTTCGTTTGATCATCGGCTGTAAAACATTCGCAAAGTCCACGCATGGTCGATTTGATCGTCGAACACGTTGGTCCAGCTCGACGATTCGTTCGTTTCGAAGCACACGGTGTCTCGAAAAAATGTGTTATGCTTCCAGAGCGAGAAGATGAAGCAATTGTTGATCGTGGCGCTCGTCCTGGCGGTGCTTTGCTCGACGACAATGGCTCAAGCCGGCGACGATTACATTCATCTGCCAGGTAAAAGCTGCAAGGACGCTCCACCGTGTCCCGACGGTAGACCCTGCGTGATGGCACCGCCTCGTTGCAACGCTGGTACTTGCGGCACGAAACCGGTGCCAACGTGTGGCCGGAAATCCTGAATGTCGCAGTGTCGCCTGAAAAACAAGTGGCCCACGCCTACGCCGCTGATCATCCTCCTTGTCCGTCAAATGGCGCGAGTAATGGTAGACACTCGACTAAACGCTTGATGTAATCTTTCTTTTATCGTCAATAAAACAATTTCACGCTCTAGGTTGTCCTTTTTGTTCGGGCACTGTAACAAACGACCATTGTACGGGGCGCGATCGTTTTATTTTCCGATCGTTCCGTAAGATCGTTGTCTTAACCGGACCGAATTTCTCTTCTGCGAAATGTTCACGGTTCCCAGACGGCGGGTGCACCTCGTAAAGCGATACCGGAAACTGCGGCGAAGTGGCGTAAAGCCGACGACAAGGGTGATCGAGAGGGGCATCGACTTTCTCGCCGAAGTGTATATACCCGACTGGATGGGACGGGGAGAGCTCTTGTCTTTGATACCCGAAATTACTTGGTCAACGACGAAAATGACATTGAACGGGGCTAATCCGGTATGTGTACAATTTTGCAATATTTCATAGGTAACTATGAAAAATCGCTAGACGTGTCCACTCTACCCGATTTCTGCTTCTCGTCTTTTCGTTGGAAATTTCGAAAGTTTCACTCGAAACCAACCGCCTTTCTCTCTGCATGTTTGCCTTTTAATCTACCATTCGTTTGCTTTCGAAACACCGATCTCATATCGACGGTCCAAAGTGTCTCGTTTTATCTTTTAAAATAAGAGGAAGAAAAGCAAACGAGTACGAATCTGTGAAAGTATAAAAGAACTTTTATGAAAGACAATTGGCGCGTATCGTTTCCACGATAAGTTCGTCATCGACGTAGCTTTGTGTTCTATCGATGTTCAGCGAATTTGTTTGTTCTATCGATGAGAGTTTAGTGGAGCGAGTTGGTAACGAGATCAGGGAGGAACCGATAGTTGGTAACAAGATTTTCTGCAGGGAAATGGAGTGGACCGGTAATCCGTTAAAGGGGTCAAGTAGGTGTCCCTTTCGAGTCGGTAAATTCCTTGACCAGACTGTCGTGACCCTTTTTCTTCTCTTTGTACCACGGTCAAAAGGGACAAGCAGGGCACAGTCTTTGCTCGTTTTGATCCGGGGGATCGTTGAACGAAGATGAACCTGTCGAGGGGTGAGCACACCCGTTTCAAACGGTCCTTTTGTGACCTCGCTCTGGGACAAAAGAGGTAACCCACAGACACGCGTTCCATTCGACCTCTGTGATGAGGACGTTGCCTGTAAAATGGCATCTTCTTTCATCGCGCGTCCAAAGAGAATCTTCTTAACGATGCTTTCTACGAGTAACCGACACAATGAGATTTTCGGAAATAGATTGGAGCGATCGACACGCTACGCTTCTCGGATCTAATTTATCCGTATTGTTACTACCTTTTTATTTTATCCGTATAACCTTGGCTCGAAGCGTTGGTAGAGCAGAACGATAAAGTAGTCCTACCACCAGCATTCCTCCACAAACTGGCCTTAACATATTTTACCAACGCAAACCCGAGTAGAAAGAGCAGGAATCGAAAAGTTTGCGGAAACGACGATGGGTTGGTTGATAAATCGAATCATTAGATGGACCGCGAAACGGTTAACCGAAACGAAGGATCCTAGACGGTAAATTAACCGCGAAATCGATCAGTCTGTTGAACAGAGTGCGTTCAAAGGTGTCCGAAACGTTTCACGAAAACTCGTTTCGTAGATTCGACGGAGAGCACGTAACGGGACAGAGTCTATGGAAGCAGGCTGGACGAAATTACGTGGATAGAAAGTTTACTCGAAATTTCTCCGGTGAAATCGATCGGTCCGGTTGGATAGCTCGTCCGCTGCTCTATTCCTGCCGGATTAAAGTTTAAAGGGTAGCAGTCGATTTCTGCATAAGCTTACGCGGAGACACAGACAGACAGAGGGAGGCAGCAGAACGACGGGGATGATGGAAAGAGTCGCGAACGAGGGAAAGAAAGAAGCGCGCGATGCGAAGGGAGGTAGACGAGAGGAAGACAATCTAAACGCGACGCGTGGAGGAGGCCAGAGAGGGATAAAAAATGAACGAGATGTTTCACGGATGAATATGGAGACGAAACAGAGGGAGAGAAAGCGAACCGGAAGGACAGAAACATCGTCCTGTTCCTGATAGACGGAATCACCCCGTGAATCCACGCTTTTGAATCGAATACGACAGCAGCAAAAATTACGGAACTCCATTATCGGGTGTCGGAATGCTCTCCGCCTCTGGCGAAGGCTTGTTCCGCGTTTCGTTAGCTCGCTCGATGACGCGCCATCGAATCTCGACCCTCCTCGCATCGAGGGTGAACATCCTCCTCCTCGCGCCACTCTGCTTTTCTCGCCAATCGATGTTGGAATAAACGCGAAAATTATCCGATGGCTTACAAGAGGTCTGTACCGTTGCCACAGCCTCGAATTTCGATCCCGTTCGAACGATCGATTCAACGGCTACGGGAATACGGTAAAAGGACACGATCGCGCCAGACACGAATCCATCTAGAGGCTATCGAATCGTGTACAGCGATGGAGTGTCCTTCGATTACGTAACTGTGCGTCACCGTAAAGCTTCTACCGTATACCGTTAACAGCCAAAACGACTACTAACGCTTACAATATTAAAACGAAAGATCGGTCCAGACTTACTGACTCCTGTTTATCCCTGTAACCAGTTTCGATCTGTATGGGGACGGTTCTGTCGGCGCTGCGATCACTGGGGCAACAGAGCCACGATCTGGACCTGGTTAATCCTTTCGGTTCCTCTTCCTCCTCCTCGTCCTCGGTGGTGGCACAATGCACGTATACCAAATCGTCTCTTCGAGGTGCCTCGAGGATCTCTTTGCCCGAGGTTGCCACGTGACTCGGCTGCACCGTGAACCTGAGCGCCTGTTGACACTGTTGCTGTTGCTGTTGTTGTTGCTGTTGCAGTCGCATTCTTTGCCTGTGCAACCGGTCCACGTAATAAGCTGGCTCCGCGGAGCCATTGTTCACGGCCACGGTGAAGCCCGCCACGTTGTCTCCGTATTGTTTCTTAATCCTTGCTCTCTACAGCATCCTTCATCGTTGACGTTGTTTCTGATCGATGTAGTGTGCTGGATATCGCGTGCTGTTTCAGACTTTACTCGGCAACTCGTAGTCGCCTTGAATATGCACCGAATGGTTTTTGAACCGAGATCAGTTCAGGTAACAGGTTCTTCGTCACGCTCGGTTACCGAAGAGATATTGCGACATCGTAGCGATCGGCAGTACAATTCTTTTTCGCGAGGATCTAATTGCTACAAGAATCAATTAATTTAACAGCGTGTCAAGCGTTGATAGTCCGAAGATAGAAGGTTATACGGGTGAGAGCTTTCGATGTTGATCCTCCGATTAACCTTTGGGGCTAAATCGAACGTGACTGCATCTATGAAACGCACGCGACGGTATCTCGATTAAAGTTGAACGCGTTAATGTTTGCATAAAAGGAGAGTACCGTTCAAAGAACTAGCAGTAACAAGGAGGATAAAATTTCTAGCTCGGAATTCGAAAAATTTCAGTCACTAATTACGATAGCGGCGGAATGGTTGAAAGTTTTTTCGCTTTGGCACGGGCTTCGCGAGGCACGACGCAGTGATTTCGACGTCGAAAAAAGCTCGAGTGTCGAACGTTTAATGGCGTCAGATTTGCCAGCTGCAGTTTTAACATTTTCAACGCGTTTAACGAGCGCGTGCACGTCATTCCGACTGCTCGTTAACTTGTCATTAGTGGCCCGGTCAACGGTTGGTCTTCGATGCTCTTTCCACGGCTGTTCGTTAGCTTTTCAACGATATGTTACGACGTGCCTATCTACAGATCGTTGATTTTACGAACCGAACCATAGAGAACCGTACGAGATAATCGCAGCCACTTCCATTCTTTTTTACTTCTACTATCGTTTATGCGAAACTTTGTGGGAAGAGATAATCCTAATTTATCTCATAGCGATCACGAAGAATCGGTACATTACGAATGCTTGTCACGAAATCGTGTCAGATTTGACGCGTTGAAAAATCGACTGATATGGAAGAACTGTGGTGACAAGTGTAGGAAGTACCGGCATAGAACCGTTCCCGTAGAATACGCGGTCGCTTTGATCCCATTGGCCCTACATAAAAACTAATTGCTGGCGGCAATAAGGGTCTCGTTAGGTCCGCGACAGGAGTCCCTATGCTCTTTCTCGAGTTCGTAATTGCCGGTCGAGCAATTAATTTATTTTGCAAACACTCCACGATCTCGTCGAGAATCGATAGACACCACAGTGCGGGAGCAATTAACCAGCTTTCTAAATCGACCAGTTTATTATGTTAACTGCGGGTCCGCGTAAACTCTATTACAACCGGCGATCGTCTTCGTTTAACCGAACGGAATTTCTGTTTCGTCGAAAACTCGTGTGGACTCTTCGGGCGAATTTCAGTTTAATGGTACCAGAGTTTGGAACACTGAATTTTCTTGTAATTGTTAAACCGAAATGGTAACGATCTTTTTGGTTTGAAGTATTATACCTGAAGGGGTGTTTGCAAAGAAGATAATTCTAAAAGCGAATATGCGCGGGTAACTGGATCTTTTACTATACATTGTCGAGCGTAAATAGTTCCACGATCCATTAACGTTGTCCAAACACGGTCAGGGAACGTTTTAACGGGTAAAAACCGAGGTAAAGGGCAAAGTGTTTTAGGAACAGCAAGAGTTTTAGCAGCTGTCGCGCCACCTTCAATGGATTAGCTTATCGTCTATCGTCGCAGCATATCTGAAGGGAGATTTGCATTATGCTGACGTCAAAAGTTCACCCTTCTCGATTCTACCCTTTTCCTCTTTCTATTTCGTCGAGCATGGACATTGGATATTTGTCGCGTTGACTCACGCGCTCCCACCGTAAGATGCAATCGAAATCTTATCTCGGTTATTAATTAAGTCGAGCTTTTAAAACGGGAAAGGGAACTTTACTCGCAGCTGGTGCATTACGTGGCTCGGTACATTATTTACTACTTTGTTGGGAATTTCTAACTCTTCTACAAATATTAATTCTTGAAAGATATTACGGATTTTAGAACGGTACGGTTCGAATTTCTGTGAATAAAAGAATCCCCCGTTGGCAGAGCCTCGAACGGATATTTGTTCGCGACTTCCCTACAATGTTTCTATCGGCGACAAATTTAGCAGCGGTTTCAACGGCACGAAACGGGTATAATTGGCAAAGCGCGTGATTCACGGGGAAGGGAGCGTAGGTCAGGGTGCCGGTGAACCGAGCACGGAACAAGAGAAGCATGTGGGTGGATATTATATGAGTAATTAGCACGTGCACGCGCGCGGCCTGACGTTGAATTCACTGGCAGCAGTTGTTGCACGGATGATCCACGAACAATTCAGCGCCGGTCTAAACGTCGCGCAGACACTCGAAAGCCTGCTGTTTATTGACTCTTTTGAGAGCGATCAGGGGGGCGAAGCTTCGCAGCTGGCATTGATATTCTTACGATAACACCGTAAAGCTCTGTTTACACGAGCTCCAATCGCTCAGAAAAGATCCTCTTTGAATAATCGCGCGCGTATTTGTGTCTACGAATACTCGTCCCTCGACAATTGTAATCCTCGTATATTATCCCGAGTGTGGTTACCGAAATTTTCGTAGGAAAGAAGGCAGTTCTGCGGGAGATTTTCCCGAAGCGGGCACAGCGTGCGACGTAGGAACAAACACGAATCGATTCGAAGCTCGCAATTTGTTATATTTCGTTCATTAATCTTTTTCTCGTGGAACGCAACAGCGAGACAATATCTATCTCGAATCTACGATGCAAACGTCGATCATCTCGCGGTTAGAAACTTCTCTTATCTCGGCACGAACATCTCGAAAGCGTCATTAGGGAGCTCGATGAATTGCTCGAAGAAGCAACGGTTCAAGAAACGTCCCGCGGCACAAAGCTCGCTCATCAGCCGCGTAAAAAGGTGTCGTTTCAGCGGATCGCTCAATTCTCCGGGCGAGGAGCGTGTTTTTCTTCGGGAATGAGACGCGAAGGGGTGCACTGGTGGCAGAGAATCGCTAGGAACAGCAGGAACGCGGAAGGGATACTGCTCGGCGAGGAAGCCAGTTCGTTAAACTCGTTACCGATCCCTGAAATCGTTGCCCTGGAATGCACCGGGCGATTTTTCTTCTTTCGCCTCTTCTTCTCCTTCTTCTCGCGGAGAAACAAAAGCGTGAACGAGGCGTACGCGTCGAAGAAAAGAAACGAAAACGTCCAAGACGTACGTACACGTTCGCGCTTCGCGAGAACAACGATGAATAGACCGAGATGGTGATTACGCTAATACCATGAATGAATACGTAAGCCGGGCAAACAAAGGAGCGAATATTTGAACGTCTCTAAACAGGTGCAAAAGAAGCGTCGAGGACGGCGTTCTAACGATAGAACGCGACACGGGAAACGAGGATAATACGCGAGAAAACGTTACGGCTGTTTCGAGAATAAACAAACTACTGCACTTTGGAAGGCGGGAAAACGTACGAAAGTTTCGACAAGTTATGGCTCGGTAATACATCGAGTCGAACAGCTTCGTGGCTCGTTCGAGAAGCGATCGGGAAGCGAGGAAAAAGTGGCTCGAACGAAAAACAAATATTGTAGCGGGAGGAGGCGACCCAGTTTTCGCCGAGAAAATTCGCAACGAAAATACGACGTCACGGGACCAATAAAATCGGAATTCTCGTAACGTGTATCTCGGCCGCGGTTCGCTATTTCAGCGATTAGATAAACGCGAGCGTTGCTCGTTCCGACCTTATGCAAATATTAATAAACTAGCACACGTTATTCGTCGACGCGTTCTAAACGTTGATACGCGAGAAAAGAAAATGGAACTTTATAGCCACATGCAAACTTCCCTCTAATTATCAGGATACACCGCGGAAATTGAAAATAGAGAATTTCGATATTGTAATAAACAAGGTATTACCAGTAAAGCAAATGCCATTAAATTAATTATTATTGCATTGTTTCGTATGCATCGCACTCACAAAGGAACAAAGCAACGTTAGCTAATTATACCGCTGTATCCACCAGCACATTCGACGAAAGATCAAAAGAGGAACGAAAGGATCGTTCAGCGATCGGTAACTCCGCTCGTATCGGTCAGTTTACGATACAAAATGGAGCGATACCAGTTTCGCTCGATTCCTGAAGCTTGGAAATTAATGAAGCAGTTCAGTGACGAAAAGGAAAGCGACAAGCGAAACAGGATGCCTTGGCAGTTACGCCAAGCCTTAATTGATAAGAAAATTACACGCAGCGAAAAGCAATGAATAGATAGACATTTAGTACCCAGCATCATAATGGTGCATTAACGATTACCGTTAATCTTCGCAAAGGCCCTGCACCCGAGTGAATAGTCGGAAATCTTGCGGAACGGAAATAGAGGGTTATAACAACGATATCGCATTTTTCCCGTGGAATATGGTTGGAGCGTGATAAATCAAAACGATAATCGGTCACTTTACCCGGTACAACGAATCGGGGGCAGACAAATCAGGGTTAACAGCCATGCCAGCTGGTCAAAGACACGGTTCTGCAGGCTTTTGGGCCAACGAGCTTCCCGTGGCTGTAATAGTAGTAGAGGCAATGCTCTAGCCAGACGTTGGCTTGGCCGGCGCCACGACGCCGACAAAACGCGAGACGCGGCTCTAATGGAAATTAAATGAATCGTATTGTTTTCCAAAGTACCAATGCCCTCCCCCATGGCGGGCCAGCTTTTTTGGAACGCGGCCAACAAAGTTTCAACACCATCGTGCAAGACCAACTGCACGGTCGAGGGAGCGACACGCGTTTAGGATGCGTCACTTTCGAGCCGGTGATTTTTAAAACGGAAGTCGCATCTCGCGTTACTCGTTTCACCAGATACCTGGAACGATCGACAAATTGCGGATATTTCAAGAGGAGGTCTCGGCCCGTTAATTTTAACAACTGGCGATCGATCGATGCGCAAGGCCTGATTGGAAGTGGGTTATTGAAAGTTTACGGGGTATATTGGAAAAAGTGAAACGAAAGCCGGTGAAACCATGTACCGTTTTACGACGGAAGTATCATAAATCTTGAACTTTTCATCTGTCGAAGAATGTCGGTGTTGAAGCACGAGAACGATGTCATTGAAACGCGATTACTTTTGAATTACGAGAAAATTTCGTCGATCGTAGAAGTTTTTTCGTTCCGATTGGATCTCGTTAGCGAGTGATTTACCACCTGGAACGTCGCTTCTCGGCCAATCGATACCATCCATGACACGTCCTCGAAATTTACGCAATTGATTCCGATTTTGCCAATTTGAACCGCGTGCGTCACGGCACGGCCGTAAATCGGCCCATTAGCTAATGTAAATTGTCACCCGTTAAGGCGAACCGACGATCGGTGAATAATGACCCGGTTTTATAGTAGCCGGTGCACCGTTAATGGTCTCGTCTAATTAAATCGATGAACTTGCCACGTGACGAGTCTTCGCGACGCAGAATGTTATGAAAAAAACATTCCTGACTCATCGAATCAGCGATCATAAATAATCCTTCACCGGATCGCAAACATCGCGCAAATATATTCCACGAACCGTTCGTCTTTTTACGCGGAATGTTCTAAATAGTTAATCGACGATAAAAGAAATAGATACCGGTACGCTTAACAGTTGTAATGTTATTCCATGGGTATTTAGCCATCCGTTTAATAAGTAATTGAATTCCTTACGATAAAGATGATGCCGCTATTATTTTCAATTTGTAAATTCACAGTCGTTCGCGCGTAATTAACACCGCGACTCTACAACCGGTAGAACATCGAGTCGCTCTATTACCCGTACCATTTTTCACGCTCGTAAACCGTGAACATACAACGGCTTAACACGATACAACAAACCGACGATATCTAGTACCGATCGCTTGTTCGAGCCGACGATATTAAATTGCGACACGAGTTAAGATCCCAGGAGGATCAATGATATCCATAAATTGCGTGGAGGAAGAGAAAAGGAAGCGAAGGACGAACGAAATGAAATGCCGTGTATCGATAAGGGGCAATCAGTAAGAATTTTTCCTTTCCTATTGGACGGCGTATCGAAGGAAGAATTAGGCTGAAATATTGGGCTGGCCGAGATGCGATACATGCAGGCGCAGGCAAGATAATACAGACTATACCGCAGTGCGATTCGCGTTACCGGCGTAATTGCTTTTGCATCGATTGTCCCTCACGAGGTCGGTCCGTGTTCTCTGCGCCCTACATAAGCGAGACCTAGCCTCTGCGCCAATCTTACCGATCGCCCAGGAAAATAGCGGCACGCGACGCTGTTACCCGATCATCTACCGCTGCGATCGTTGCGGTGTTAACGCGATTAGACGTCTTTGAACACCTACGCGACGCGATCGCTCGCTCCAGAAACGATCGCTGCGGGCTTTCCTCGTGTCCGTGTTAATTCTCGTCGCGTACTTTTTTTAAGGGTACAATAAGACGATTTGAACGTTGACATCTCAAAGGGACACGGTTAACTTGGACTAACGGTTATTGTTGTTTACAAAGATAGGTAGATAGGGGGCAGTGGTACAGGTCCTGGAATAGGCCGCTAATTCAATGGGCCCAACTGTTGAGTATGGGGGTCCTTATGTCACGGTCATCCTCGAATGTCCGTCTGTCGCTTTATACCATAATCCTCTTTAATTTTCGTCACTGTCGTCTTTGAATGCCGGGTGGTCTATCTGGGATACCCTAATTCAAACGATCCGCCAGATTGTAGAACCTGCGGAACATAGGGGTACCGGACACACATGGGATCAATGTAACGTTCATAATCGATCAAGTTATTCATGACACCTCTAGTACACTGTCATAAAGGAATTCGGTGATAGTGAGCCATTCTACCGTCCTTTAAGCGTTCGTCCGTCTTCGTCTTTGCGAGTACCTCGGTCGTTAACTTCGCGTGCTCGATCGAGTATTAGAGAACCAACAGAGTACGGGGGTTGGGATACGAAATATCGAATCTAGGTACTCGTGACTGACGCTGTCAAGCCAGACATGCTCTAAATCATGGAATCCATAAAACGTTACGATCTAAACTCAACTCTGCGAGCTAACCACGGTACCACTGTCATCCCTAATTCCAAGGATCCTATCGGGCACAAGGACTTCGATTTTACGACATGTCACTCTTATAATACTGTTATATCCTCCACGAGTTCTACCGATCGCTACGATCAGAGACGTCCTCTCGAGTTGCGAACGAAAACAGGAAGCAAAGAAAGCATTTCGCACCAGAGTGTCCACACGCGACGCGGAGTTGGACGTATCACGCGAGACCAAGCATAGTCCTGGAGAATCGATGACACGCGCGATCAAGACACGATCGGTGGCTGCTCGGCACGAGACCGGGTAGCTACACGGTCTGAGACGTTCGGTGACGGACTGAGCCACCGATTCTCCCACACCCCTGTCGCATTTGCCGAAGCGGCAGCCGAGGGCGTCCGAATGGCGCCGAGCGTCGCCGATCTTACAGCTCGTTGCACCGAAAGCTCTGATTCCGGCGTCTCTCTTGCTCCAATTGTCGCGATATACGGAGCGACGCTGTTCGACGCCGCGCGTCCATTGCGGCTGATAAAAGTAATACGTTCGCGGTACCCGCGAAAAAACCGGATATCGGCCAATTCCATCTTCGCCGTCGCTCTTCCTCCTTATCCGCGACACTGACAGCAGGGTGTCTTCTCTTCTTTTTTTCAGCGTGCAGATTCCTTTCGGTGTTTTTCCACTTGGCGCGATCGATCCGAGATAATCGATCGAGTTATGCTAATTGTAAAGATCGTTGCGTGCCAATCGACCGATTTAAAATATAGAAACTCCGCTGCAATTTCGCGTTATGAAAGCAAGTACTGCGAAATGCTGCTTGCACGCTAATTTGAAACGTTACCGTAGTCATTTTCGTGCAACCTTCGGCGTCAAATTGATACCGCGCCAGTGTTATTTCGCGATGCTTTATAAGGACGATATTCAACAACCCGATGTTTTAAGACGACAAAGTAACAAAGGTTGCACGGACCCGCCAATGGGAAGGGTTATTTATTGCCAGGAAGTGTGAAAATCACCGGCATACCTGACGACTAATGACTCTGTTCGATTACAGAAACAGGGATCGAGATTGCACACGAGATTCCATTAACGGCAGACGACCGAACGCCGTTTACAGTCAAACTACTTGGAACTTGTACCTGACATAATTACGTAGGAACGCGATGCGATTGCGGCGACTCGGAGGAGAAAAGGCAGCAAGAATTTCGCGGCGCTCTCTGTGTCGGACTCACGCTGAAAGTTCTGAGAATCGTTCTAAGCTTTGGATGCAAATTAGGAATCCATCAAAGTTGAAAAATCTCCTGAACCGTGGAGAGAACTACGGTGACATTCGTCCCAAGATCTGATCGTTGTAATCTAAAGATGTTCAATTTTTGAACTGTCCAAATTTTGTGCCTCGCGCAAAGAAAGTTCAGGTTGGAAAATAAAATTGGTCGATCGTCGGTGCGTTATCGCGAGCTCGCAAAGACTCTCCTTTAATGGCGTGCCACACCTGTTTGTCGACTCGTAATATTTGTCCACCTACCGCGTTCGCCGAGCAACCGGTGTAACGGTGCGTTTGGTTACGCCGCGGGCGCCGAGCGTCGCCGATCTTACAGCTCGTTGCACCGAAAGCTCTGATTCCGGCGTCTCTCTTGCTCCAATTGTCGCGATATACGGAGCGACGCTGTTCGACGCCGCGCGTCCATTGCGGCTGATAAAAGTAATACGTTCGCGGTACCCGCGAAAAAACCGGATATCGGCCAATTCCATCTTCGCCGTCGCTCTTCCTCCTTATCCGCGACACTGACAGCAGGGTGTCTTCTCTTCTTTTTTTCAGCGTGCAGATTCCTTTCGGTGTTTTTCCACTTGGCGCGATCGATCCGAGATAATCGATCGAGTTATGCTAATTGTAAAGATCGTTGCGTGCCAATCGACCGATTTAAAATATAGAAACTCCGCTGCAATTTCGCGTTATGAAAGCAAGTACTGCGAAATGCTGCTTGCACGCTAATTTGAAACGTTACCGTAGTCATTTTCGTGCAACCTTCGGCGTCAAATTGATACCGCGCCAGTGTTATTTCGCGATGCTTTATAAGGACGATATTCAACAACCCGATGTTTTAAGACGACAAAGTAACAAAGGTTGCACGGACCCGCCAATGGGAAGGGTTATTTATTGCCAGGAAGTGTGAAAATCACCGGCATACCTGACGACTAATGACTCTGTTCGATTACAGAAACAGGGATCGAGATTGCACACGAGATTCCATTAACGGCAGACGACCGAACGCCGTTTACAGTCAAACTACTTGGAACTTGTACCTGACATAATTACGTAGGAACGCGATGCGATTGCGGCGACTCGGAGGAGAAAAGGCAGCAAGAATTTCGCGGCGCTCTCTGTGTCGGACTCACGCTGAAAGTTCTGAGAATCGTTCTAAGCTTTGGATGCAAATTAGGAATCCATCAAAGTTGAAAAATCTCCTGAACCGTGGAGAGAACTACGGTGACATTCGTCCCAAGATCTGATCGTTGTAATCTAAAGATGTTCAATTTTTGAACTGTCCAAATTTTGTGCCTCGCGCAAAGAAAGTTCAGGTTGGAAAATAAAATTGGTCGATCGTCGGTGCGTTATCGCGAGCTCGCAAAGACTCTCCTTTAATGGCGTGCCACACCTGTTTGTCGACTCGTAATATTTGTCCACCTACCGCGTTCGCCGAGCAACCGGTGTAACGGTGCGTTTGGTTACGCCGCGAAACGACGCGCACAAAACACGACGTTACGCGAGAAACCAAAGAATCTCGATTCGATCGAAAGTGGAATGAACGCGGAGGATAAGCGAGCCGATCCAGATTTCTCGAAAGATATGCAAATCGGGGGCAGAACTTCGGGCGAAGTTGGAATTGCGCGAATTCAAACGGGGGAAGAATCATTAAAATTAGGGGAAAGAAAGGGAACGTCGCGCAGGATAGGACGGTGTTAGTGCAATTAAGGAGACAGCCCGTGTGGCTTCTTAATTAACTCGGCTAATTTGTCAATTAACACGAGGCAGACTTTTGAGAGGCAGAGAAAGAAGGAACAAAAGGCTGTCGGGGTAACTCCTGACGTTGAAAGCTTTCCGGAGTGGCGAATTCAAAATTCCCTTCTACCGTCGCGATTTTACTCTTCGTGTTCCACGATTTTGGACCTTAAACGGAGTTAAAAAGGAAAATACAGAGATGGAGTAGAGAAGTAAACTGTCGTTGACTAAGCGGCGTATCGGGTCTATTTTCTCCGCGGTAATCGTTGAGGAGGACTAGGTATCTGCGTGAAATTTATGGTGCCGGTCACCGGTGACCCCCGTACAAGTTAACGCGTTAAGTAACTCGAGGAACGAAGAACGCAGGCGTCCTTGACAAATTCCTCAGAAAAATACTTGACGATTTACAGGCTGGCGGCGCGAGTAGCTTATAAAAGCGAATAACAGGGACGAGGGCCCAATAAAGAGCCGACGCGTTAATAAAGAAATAAGATTCTCCGTTAATTGCGAGCACGTACGAAGGAGGTTTCGCGTCGATATATATCGTCTGCGCGTAAAGACGCCCCGAGGCTTTATTGCGACGCGCTGCTCTGCTTCGAAGAATTCGTCTGGAAGCTGGTGCACGCCTCGCAGGATGAAATTCTCGAGACACGGGCCGGAAGTAAATATCCGGGCAAGAACGAAGGTGGGTATCCGTCGCGATGGAAAGTAACGATTTTTTTGGCCTAGAAAAACATCGGCCCATGTAAAAGTCTCTCCACCTACGAACAGGAGAAAGCTCGCACACGATATTGGATATCCGTTCGATGAAACGAGAGAGATTTTTATTGGCAATCGGTGGGTCGGATGGTGGGTTACGTCGCAGACGGGAGAACGTGTACCTTGGTCTGTCGCTGTACCGTCTGACCCGATCGATGATACGTTTAGGCCGTGCAAACGTTGCAAATTGATTTGCACGCCGTAAATTTATTTTGTTCCGGATCCGAAAACGAACGATTCGTTCGCTACAGTCCAGGGATTAGGGAAACTCGTATTAAGAGATTTAGGTGGAGATCGAAGTGGAGATTAATGGAAACTGCCCCACGAAGTTTGCTGCATTCGATTAACGAGAGCCATCATCTAATTGACCCTTTCAACATTTCCCAATCTTTAGCAACTGCAAGCTATATAGCTCGAACACTAATTTTTCCTTATCTCCCCTAACTACGAACATGCTGCTATTCAAATAGGCTCGTACCGCGCATAAGTTCGAGGCAACGTTGACCGGTAGGAGGAGCAAAGAAGTTTCGATACCGAGCACGATATCCTAAACAGGCATTCGATAAAACAATCTTTCGCAATAAGAGGCAAGGACGATGTCGTGGTTTGGTCGGGCCACGCTGAAACATTTAGTCGAGAAGAGTTATCGATCGATGACCTCAATAACGTTTCACGAAAGTTATCAGCTCGGTCGGGACGATACCCGTACGATATAAGATTACATGTTCGATAAGCTATTGTTCCGTGGTCAAATCGTAGCCGTGTACCCTGTATCGTGGCCCAACGATAACGACTACAAAGCATACCATAATCGTGCTGCTTAATTCAATCTGTCGTATCTGTAATAAGCCATATACGGTTTATCTGGAATCACGCGGGCGCATAGTTCACGTAACCGCAGAGGCAACCGTGCTCCAGAAAGAATTTCTCCAGCCATATTTGCGGATTTTGCAAAATTTATTTACGACGAAGTATACCTCGATAATCGTTTAATAATCGAACGAAATTTCAATAAGCTCTCAGTCTTCTCGGATACAGATTCCTCTGAAAGGTTAATCCATAAATTTCGATGCTAGCAACGCACTCGGAAGCTGGCTCTGAAAAACCTGTCTCAAGGAAAAAGCTGAGGAAAGTCGTTGAAATACAGCACGGAAGTAGGTCAGTCATAGGTGCTTTCGGTACATGGAAGGATAGGAAGTATGAACCGGAAGTAAGTAATAGGGAGGAAGCGAGTCGGTGGATAGGGTTTTTGCAGGGTCGATGATCGATAGGAGCGATGCGGTTTGCTGGTAGCGGGAACTTTCTGGCACACTGTACACGCTGCGAAGAAAAGAGGAGTCTGAGATTTAGTCGGGAACTAAAGCCCGCTGGAAACTACGAACCTTCGAAGTCGTTTGTTAACGCCGCGACGGCAAAGTGCGTTTCGTAGTTTGCCACAAGTTTCCAGCTCGCTCGCGGGCGAAGTCTGTCTGGCAAGACCCGGTATATTTGCTCAATGAGCAGGTTTTTATTCGCGAAAAAAGGGACGCCGGGTTAAACGTAAGAGTATTCATTCATGATTCAATTGACTCCGGTAAAACGAGTGTTT